TCGTCTTTGTGCGGTCCGCGAGTGACTCGGTCGATATGGCCTATCGCATGGAAGCCAACGCACTCTACATCCATGAGAAGTGGCTTCATGTGCGGGGCGCCGATGGCCCGGCAACGGAAGGCGCCATCCGCTCGGAGCGCGACGTGTTTCTCTGCCAGCATCTGGCGGAAGAGCTGTACCGGCGTGCCGTGACGCTCATCGTCCACAAGACCGACGGGCCGCGCACGAGCCAGACAATCCAGCCGCTCCTTCAAGCGGCACATTGGAAATTGCACGAGATGCCACGCCGGATTGAGGTGTACGCCGCCGCCGCCGCCGACGGCACAAGAGCGACACAGGTCTCGTTCTACACGGGCCACAGCCTCCTGTTCACTAAGCTGTGCGGGACGCAAGTGTCGTATCTGGTCGTGCTACATGGGCCCAACTGCGTCGCCCAGTCGGTGGATCACCTGCTGTACGACCCCAGCCGGGACTGCTGTCTGTGCCCGCGGCAGGTGGTGCCCCTGAGCATGCGACGAGCTGTGTTCGAGGATCCGGGCCACGGGCCCTGGGTTCCCATGGTGGTGAAGATGTCGGTTCGCGACGGCCTTGTCGGCGCCATGTCCTCCCCAGGGGGGCATCATTGGCCGCTTCTTCCGAAAGCGCAGGACGGAGCGTTGGTGGCGATTGCGCCTCCTTCCCACTCTCCGTCGTCGGAGACTGCAGCTCCCCGCGGAACCGTCCCGGTGGATCGTCCGCCCACGGTCAGCGCTGCCTTGGATCCTGTGCTCACCACCCCGACGGCTGCCAGCCAAGAGGACCAAGAAACGATAGCCGCGTCGCAGCTGGCCGCTGGGCCGCTTGAACTGGAAACGGGCGCGCAGACGACCGCATCGGACACCGCATCAGACACGGCATCGGACACCGCAGCACCGGTCCCTCTCGTGTCAGTGGTGGAATGCCTCGCCCCCCACCCGGATGACAATCCCGAGTTCGCGTCTAATGCGCTGCCCTCGACCATCTCCCGGAATATGACCTCTGCGGATCGTGCGTGGTGGCAGACCTGGCCAGAACCACCCCGGGATGTCCAAACGTCACCGAGCGCGGCGGATCACAGCATTGGGCGCTGTCAGGTAAGTTCTCCCTTGTTATATCATGTCCTTCACCACCGGTGCCCTTCTTCCATATCATTCTTCCCTGTCCTTTCGATGAAGTCCAGACGGTTCTCCTCCCTCTCGCTGGATCTGCCCCGCCGTTTCCCTACGAACCCCTTGCTCTCCCGTTGCACACGAGGGGACACCGTGATTTAACAATCCTACAGGTCCAGGAATCACATCGGTCATGCGAGCCACCCCAGGGCCTCTCGAAAGGGCAATACGCTCGGGTCCAGCTCCGTGAGCCGGGCGGGGATGGCACCACGACCGGCCGGTACGTCCTCTACGTCCACGAGGTTCTGCCACCGACCCCATCGCATGGTCCGGGCGCCCGCCTCGTCGTCACGAAATACTCCTTCCTGGCCGACCGGTTAGCGTGGGAAGCCGGGCATTCAGACACTCAGGCCCAGGAGCTGCTCCTGCACTTCCGGGACGCTGCCCGGGTTGGCTATCCGGACGACGCGGAGATTATTGCCACCGACACCGTGGTCGCGGTGGATTCGATGGACACCGAGCCGGTTGGCCCGACCGTGTCGTATGTCGCACAGGTGCCTGGTAGGATCTCCGTTCCGTCCCATCCTTTGTCTTTGGCTGACTTGTCCCCGCTCAGCAGACCCGGCGAACGGCCTTTTCGTGCGGTATGGCATTCGTGAGGGGCCCCAGCGGGAGTGGTTGTTTCTGGCACCGCTGGCGTCTTCGCTCACGGGCCCGAGAGGCAGTGCCGCGTATCCGCGATTTACCCCGCTGCCCGTGGCCTCCGTCTTCGATCTCTCCCCCGACGACCTGCGCCTGTCGGTTGGCTTCCAGAAGGCGGGATATTGCGTGCAGGCCGCAGTCGGCTTTGCCGAAGACCGCCACCAGGCATGGAAGGTGAGTGCGCCCTTTCCCGTCGGTGTCCAGATCGATGGGCCCCTGAGGCCACTGTAAAGGCGGCGCTGACCCTGTGTTGTCAACAGACGCAACATCCCGATGCCACCGTCTACCCGGGCTGTGTTGCATCCGCCCTCGCGACGATGGACGACGACCTGTCCACGCAACCGGATGACAGAGGGCGCGATGTACCCCGCATTGTGACCATTAGTGGCGAGGGGTCTTTCGCTAAATCAGCCGCCGGGTGGCTCGACCCTAGCTCCTCGGGCTTCGATGGCATCAACAGTCTCTCCGGGGAGACACTGAGTCCGCTCCAACAGTGTGAGCTCGCGGCGCAGTCTCCAGGGCTGAGTCCGGACTTCATCGTGCTGACGATGTCCCGGTCGATCTTGACAGACCAGTCGTGGGGCTCACTGGCTCGCACCATGGGTCTTCTCCTCAAGCAAGGGTATGCGGTGGCGCTGCGGCCGGTCTCTCTGCCGGATCCGGGGCAGCGTGGCGAGCGATCGGTTCTCCTCCTCGCCGCCCCGGGCCGCACCGACCCACAGTGGATCGATGACACGCTTTCCGACCTGCGAATGGTGTCGGC